CTAGTTTTAGACTCCCCTACCCTGGGAAAAAGACCTTGACTATTTTCTCTATCTGTGTCTCTCCCGATTTTATAAACAACCATAAGGTCACCCCTCAGCCTTCAATGCTCCAGGGAAAATAGCCCCAACCTATTCAACCTCTCCCTATTGCTCAAACCCTCCAACCCTGGCAACGTTGTTGTAAACCTTTTTTGAACTCGTGGAAGTTTCACAACATCCTTCGTAAAGCAGGGAGACCAGAATTGAGTGCAATATTCCAAAAGTGGCTGAACCAATGTCCTACACAGCCTGAACATAACCTCCCAACTCCTATACTCAATGCACTGACCAATAAAGGCAAGCATACCAAACACCACCTTCACTACCTTGTCTATCTGCGACTGCACTTCAAGGTCTCTGTTCGGCAATACTTCTCCAGAACCTTCCCATTACGTGTATAAGTCCTGTCCTGATTTGCCATATCAAAATGTACCATCTCACATTTATCTAGATTAAACTCCATCTGCAGCTCCTTGGCCCATCAGATCAAGGTCCCATTGTACTCCGAGGTAACCTTCTTCATTGTCCACTACACCATCAATTTTGGTGTCATCTGCAGACTTACTAACGATGTCTTCAATGTTCACATCCAAATCATTTATATAAATGACAAAAAGCAATGGACCCAGCTCCGATCCTTGCAGCACAATGCTGATCACAGGCTTCCAGTCCGAAAAGCAAATCTCCACCACCACTTTCTGTCTTCTATCTTCGAACCAATTTTGATGAACTCAAAATTTTGATTCAATGTTTTCCATTCTATTCATAAGAAAAACCTACAGGACAATTGTGCAGTAGTTTCTTTGGATGGAAATGACCGTAGATTACACCTACATTTTTTCACTCAAAATGAAATGTTTTCCTAGGTTGTGTATTTTCACTAAGGATGTCCAGTGTTTTGTTTATTACCTTGATTCCCAAAGCTGAAATAGTCTGTAAATATATCCTTGGATGGTGTTTGATCTGAAGTGTTTGCGCATTCCCTGCTTCTTCCCTTGGCTCGTCATATTATCTTTGCCAGACCCCCTTAATATATCCTCACAAGTCAACACTTTGTATTGCCCAGGCTTCACAATTCTAGTCGTCACTGTCACTAAAGATGAAAGTTTGAAGACCATTTAAGAGCACTTCCCTCATGTCTTTTGGAAGTTGCCTCTGCCTAAATGTTTGATATCCTAATATAAAATATAAAGTTTATGATATTTACCTGAAAAGTTAAGAAATTTGGATTATTTTTGGTCCAGAATAATGTTGTACCTCTGAAGTAAAAGCAATATATCCCACTACACTCAAATTCTGGTGACAGTTGGAATCTGCGAAACTGGCAAACAGCACAGTAAGGCATCAAGAGAGTTCGCCTGATGTCTTATTGCACTATGCTTTTTTTAAAATTTAACTGATTTGTCTAATCAACTTGTTCAGAGACATTATTATACACATCTGGAACAGGTGGGATTTGAACCTGGGCCCTCGGTCCAGGGGTAGAGACACTACCACTGCACCACAAGAGACTAGTGGCAGAAAACGTGGCAGACATCCCACCCAATTGAGCCACTTAAGTAATCAATTTAGGGGCTTTATTCGTCGCACTGACAGTTTGCCATAATCTGATGCTGGCACGGGAGACAAGCCGGTGAAATCTGACATTTCCAGTGGACTCCAGAAGAAATTGTTACTTGTTGGCCTAGTGGAGAAGCCCCATCTGGCAAGGCACCACCTGTGCTCAGCACCCTCATTCTCTATACCCCCAATCCATCCTGAAGGGCTATATCTGCCTGCCTGGCACTAACATCCCCAGATCCCAATAAGCTATCTTCAGGTACACCCAACCCATTCATCATTGAGCTCTCATCTGGCAGATGCAGCCCCAGAAATGACACCATTAGCAGGGGCACTGTCGAACTGCAGACCCTCTGAACAATCAGCCTTTGAAGACAGGCTGTCATTCTTATGACGGATGTCAGCCCCATTAGCAGTTACATAATTGGCCACCACAGGGACTATCTTCCCCGCTTCCACCCCGCACCCCCCACCCCACCCCACCCCACCCCACGTTCCATTGCCAGTTGAAGTGGGCGTATCTTTGACTTTTAGCCCAACTGACAATGCTTTGGCCTCTGTCATAAATATCAACCCATAGGCCCTCAAGAGCCTTCTTTTGCAATTGATAAGAAGTATAGAAAAAAAGTCAAGCATTTATGTAATCACTTTCATGATCTCAGGTCATCCCCAAGCCCTTTACACTTCAAAAGTGCTTCATTCGTTCGTTGTAGATGCTATTGTAATGTAAGAAGCATGGAAGGCAATCACACATAGTAATGCCCATAAATAAAAATTTTGTTTTCGATAAAGACCGGAAGTCAGTGCAGCATCTTTGTCTCTGGAAGGTTTTGCCTCATTATTTGTAACATAAGAATTGCCCAACATTGTTTGGTGCTACATAATTTATTATTTTGAATTAATTTTATCCATTGTACTTTCCTTGAAGAGTTCAGGTTAAAGTACTTACCTTCCGTTTTTAAATATAATGTGTCCTTTCACGTGATCTGTGAGAGCTCACAGAGCCAGTTTAGAAATCACAGAGATCTTTATCAGCTGTAGTGTGACCACAGTATTCTTGGCTTGGAGAAGATTTATTAGAAAGAACCAAGCCCACATTCCCTGCTTCTGCAAGCTAGAAACCTCATTTAGCCAACATAATTTGAGCAGTCATGGAGCTGTAATTACATGTGCCTTTCTAGCCCCAAGCTAGTTGGAGAAGCAACAGTGTGAATTCTTGGATGTCTCAAGTGACACCAGAATCCAACAGTGATAATAACAAAGAACTGCACAAGAAAACAATATGGAAATAGCAATCGACTAACACATTATTCCAAACCTTTGTGGGTCAGACCTAGTATAATCTGTTAGAGTAGAGTTATTTTGTTGCATCTACAGAATAAAAAAAGAATAAACGTGTACCATTTATGATTCTTGTAAAAAAAAATCATAAATAGTGGTTTGAGGAAAGATTTGGAATGTTGTTATTTAAAGGTAGGTTCTCTACATTTCCTCATTAGTTTACAATCTATTAAAAGTTTGAGATAAGAGAAAGAAGTAGTGCTAAATTATAGTTACATATTTCTGTAATTAACTAAGAAAAAAACAAATTTCTATGCTTTATAATAATCTGCATAGTCCAGATATTTCTTCCTCACGAGTACAATAGCAAAATTCCACCTAAAGAGGTATGAATTTTCTGAATTGTACACATTGTGACATCCAGAATGTAGGCAGGAAGGTCCCCTCTGATTTGAACATTATTTATCAACTTGGGAGAAAAATTAAGGAAAGAAAATCTTCATGATTGCCTCTATATTGTTGTACTACAAAGCAAGAAGAGAAATTCTTGCCTTAATCAGCTCACTCAAGCATTACATTATGCTCAAATGTAGCCTATTTTTGTAAGTTAAACAGTAGTGGTTGAATGAAAATGTGAATTAAGCAAACAATTACATTTTTTAAAATCGCGTGTGTTTTTAATTTTAAAAAAGGATTAATTTTAGAAGGAAATTGTATGGAGTAATTATGACTACAGCAAAAATGTCTTAAAGGGTTAGACTGTCTTCTGTTTAAAATCTTAATTTGTATTATCAGCATTAATTAGTATGCACACTGCCTCTCAAGATGTTGACTCATTTTAGGACGAGACCAGAGGTTACCCTAGTACCTTATACAAGTAGCTACAGTGAATATAGATTAACTACCCTACATTTGACTCATCATAGCCAAGTTAAATTAATTCTCTCAATGTCTAGTTAAGTGCACTTCCAATAACTAAATCACTGGTCAATATCAATGTCAGGTCATTGATCTGGAATAATCAACAGGATTTTCGCCCCAGTATGGAGTCAAGAACAGACATGGAGAGTATGTAATTTTATGCCACTGGACTGCCACCTGGTTTGTTTGCATCATCCTCCCTGAGAAATGTTGGCGAACACCATTTCAGAGGACTGAATGGCTACCTACCTAAAATGACAGTCGGCTTATTAAAGATGTCTTAGAGGCCTAACTGCCAGTTTTTAATTTCAAATTTGTTAATGTTGCTATGAGGACACCTCTCTGCTTACCTCCAATGGCAGGCTGTAACCCTTTCCATACTAAAAAAAAAGCTCAACCTTCACCCTTTATTGGAAGATAAGCATACCTTCCAGCTCCTAATTGAACACTTCAGCCAAAATTGCTGTTGGATAACTACTCCTGATAAAGCCCTGACCCAAAGTGCAAATTCCTGCTTCTTGACCTCTCCATACATGCTGCCTCCTGAGTATTTCCAGCACTATTTTTTTGTCAGCACCAGGAATCCTGGCTGCATTCTCTTCTGTCCACGGACATGGTCCAGTCCTGTGGCACAGAGACCAATTGCAGCATGCCTATAAGTGATCTGGCAAATATCTGCATAAACTGATGATCCAACCTGTGTTTAGTCAGTATACTTAAGTGTGTCTTCATGAATTGAGGGTCACTAATGATGCTGAAGGCATATTTTGCTCTGTACATGCAAATGACTGTTCACATATGCAGTCAATTTTCTGACCTGTAAAATTATCAGTTGCTTCTGCAAAATATTTCATAATACCCAGGAAGATAGATATTAGTTAAACTGCAATTTTATTTTTGAAGTGTAATTAAAGTTTTATTAGTAAGTTTAAATAATTTATAACTTTCATAGCTTATTTTGTTATTAATTATGATTGCACGATTATATTAGAATATTGTTACATCCAACGATAACTTAATTAAGTTTTCATTTTTCTCTTACCCGTTCTTATGCTGAGTCTGAGTATAAATTTATTCAATGTGAATATGTTTAGTTTAAAATGCTAATCTGGTTGAAACTACTACACTGTAGGTCTTTTATCTGGAGTTGTCTTAAAGTGTTTTTGATTTAGTTAAGAATTTATGATTTTACGTTACAGAGTGCTGCAGCTTGTGGTCTAGAGACTCACAGTGATGCCATACAGCCCAGCCACATCAGAGAGGTGATCCGACGGTACAGCCACAAAATTGGCCCTCTTTCCCCATTCACAGTACGTAATAACAGAGCTATAAAAAATTATATTTATATGTAAACGCGTTTTTAGTTTCAAGTGGTCAAAGTTTGAAGTATTGAAATTGTTGTGAGCAATTTGTGGCAGCAGTAATTTTCTTGAGAAAAGTTTATGAAATTCTCTAACGAGAATAAATACTTTTTTTTTGGCAGTTCAAGTATTACTCAATACTCTTTTCCATTATAGTTCACTTATTTTATGTTACTTCAGCACCTTATGGTTGACATATCTTGTTAATAGAATTGCTTAGTCATTTACAGCTAATTAGCTGAATGGTGGACTAACAATACGGAGCAAGTATATCACACACTGCTATTACTGGAAACTTTGTTTCAAACACTTTTGGTTAAAACATTGAACTTAATTATGATTTTGTCCCAGAGTTGAAGACGTTCAAGAGAAGAAGGATTAAACTATCAACTCCAAGCAACTAAATTCTTAACTTTCTGAATTTTCTGTTGCTTTTTGACTTTTGGTTATAGGGTTATAGGCAGTACGTAGTTTGCCAAACTACAACCAGCTGGCTAGGTCACAAAAGTTGGAATGTTTGCTTACGTTTGTTATCACACTTAATAAAGTTCAAATTAACCATGTAGGAAGATAAGTGGATGAGATCTATTAAGAACTGCAATAACTATGATTTCTTTCTTTAAAACTCTGAAGTTATTTTAATGTAAAATAACTTCTCTTTCCTAAGCAATAGCATTTTGGAAAGTATTGATGAATATCTTCTGCCTGCTCCTTTTAAGTTAGCATTACAACAAATAATTATTTATTGCAGCTTCTTTACAAATGTCATACAATATGTAAATAAGGATTTTTTCTTGATCTATATAGGTCAGTATAAATCAAAACAGCTATGAAAAAATATTACAATTATAACTTGTGACGTTACATCATTTACGGTTTACTTTAAAACTGCAAGGTTTGATGTTATTTCCTGATTGTTCCTGTTAATTAAATAACAGTAATAAAATTAGCCTTGAATTTATTGACACAGCCGGAAGATTTTAAAAAAAATTGTTTCAGAGATAGTAGGAACTGCAGATGCTGGAGAATCTGAGATAACAAGGTGTAGAGCTGGATGAACACAGCAGGCCAAGCAGCATCAGAGGAGCAGGAAGGCGGACGTTTTGGCCTAGACCCTTCTTCAGAAATGGGGGAGGGGAAGGGGGTTCTGAAATAAATAGGGAGAGAGGGGGAGGCGGATAGAAGATGGATAGAGGAGTAGATAGGTGGATAGGAGACAGACAGGTCAAAGAGGCGGGGATGGAGCCAGTAAAGGTGAGTGTAGGAGGGGAGGTAGGGAGGAGATAGGTCCGTCCAGGGAGGATGGACAGGTCAAGGGGGCTGGATGAGGTTAGTAGTTGGAGATGGGGGTGGGGCTTGAGGTGGGAGGAGGGGATAGGTGGGAGGAAGGACAGGTTAGGGAGGCGGGGATGAGCTGGGCTGGTTTTGGGATGCGGTAGCGGGAGGGGAGATTTTGAAGCTTGTGAAGTCCACATTGATACCATTGGGCTGCAGGGTTCCCAAGCAGAATATGAGTTGCTGTTCCTGCAACTTTCGGGTAGCATAGTTGTGGCACTGCAGGAGGCCCAGGATGGACATGTCATCTGCGGAATGGGAGGAGGAGTTGAAATGGTTTGCGACTGGGAGGTGCAGTTATTTAGTGCGAACCGAGCGTAGGTGTTCTGCAAAGCGGTCCCCAAGCCTCCGCTTGGTTTCCCCGATGTAGAGGAGGCCACAACGGGAACAATGGATGTGCAGGTGAACATCTGCTTGATGTGGAAAGTCTTCTTGGGGCCTGGGATGGGGGTGAGGGGGGAGGTGTAGGGGCAGGTGTAGCACTTCCTGCGGTTGCAGGGAAAAGTGCTGGGTGAGGTGGGGCTGGAGGGGAGTGTGGAGCGGACAAGGGAGTCACGGAGAGAGTGGTCCCTCTGGAAAACAGATAAAGGTGGGGAGGGAAAGATGTCTTTGATGGTGGGGTCGGATTGCAGATGGCGGAAGTGTCGGAGGATGATGCGTTGGATCCGAAGGTTGGTGGGGTGGTACGTGAGGACGAGGGGGATTCTGTTTTGGTTGTTATTGCGGGGAGGGGGTGTGAGGGATGAGTTGCAGGAGACACGGTGGAGGGCGTTCTCGACCACTAAGGGGGGGAAGTTGCGGTCCTTGAAAAACGAGGACATCGGAGATGTACGGGAGTGGAATGCCTCATCCTGGGAGCAGATGCGGCGGAGGCGAAGGAATTGGGAATAGGGGATGGCATTTTTGCAGGAAGGTGAGTGGGAAGAGGTGTATTCTAGGTAGCTGTGGGAGTCGGTGGGCTTGAAATGGATATCAGTTATCACGTACCCCCTCCCCACCCATTGCCTGTCAGGAGTCTGCACACTGTCCCAGTCCAAGACCCTTCCACAAGTAGAAATCTTGCCTTTGGCCTCCTCTACAACCCAAATCCCTCAACCTCCTGGACCTGATGGTTTCTAGGTGGTTTCCGGAGATGGAGACAGAGAGGTCCAGGAAAGAGAGGTATTAGAGATGGTCCAGGTGAACTTAAGGTTGGGGTGGAAGGTGTTGGTGAAGTGGATGAACTGTTCGAGCTCCTCATGGGAGCACGAGGTGGCGCCGATACAGTCATCAATGTAACGGAGGAAGAGGTGGGGTTTAGGGCCAGTGTAGGTACGGAAGAGGGATTGTTCCACGTAACCTACAAAGAGGCAGGCATAGCGTGGGCCCATGCGGGTACCCATGGCCACCCCCTTTGTCTGTAGGAAGTGGGAGGAATTGAAAGAGAAGTTGTTGAGGGTGAGGACGAGTTCGGCAAAGCGGATGAGGGTGTCAGTGAAGGGGGACTGGTTGGGCCTGCGGGACAGGAAGAAGCGGAGGGCCTTTAGGCAATCTGTATGGGGAATGCAGCTGTATAGGGACTGGACGTCCGTGGTAAAGATGAGATGTTGGGGACCGGGGAATTGGAAGTTCTGGAGGAGGTGGAGGGCGTGGGTGGTGTCACGGACGTAGGTAGGGAGTTCCTGGAACAAGGGGGAGAAAATGGAGTCAAGATAAGTGGAGATAAGTTCGGTGGGGCAGGAGCAGGCGGAGACAATGGGTCGACCAGGGCAGTCAGGTTTGTGGATTTTGGGAAGGAGATAGAAGCGGGCGGTGCGGGGTTGGGGGCTGCGGGTGCGAGGTCACCTGAAGTGATGAGGTTGTGGATGGTTTGGGAGATGATGGTTTGGTGGTCGGGGGTGGGGTCATGATCAAGGGGGCGATAGGAAGAAGTGTGGGAGAGTTGGCAAACTTCAAAATCTCCCCTCCCCCTACCGCATCCCAAAACCAGCCCAGCTCGTCCCCGCCTCCCTAACCTGTCCTTCCTCCCACCTATCCTCTCCTCCCACCTCAAGCCCCACCCCCATCTCCTACCTACTAACCTCATCCCGTCCCCTTGACCTGTCCGTCCTCCCTGGACTGACCTATCTCCTCCCTACCTCCCCACCTACACTCACCTTTACTGGCTCCATCCCTGCCTCTTTGACCTGTCTGTCTCCTCTCCACCTATCTTCTCCTCTATCCATCTTCAATCCGCCTCCCCCTCTCTCCCTATTTATTTCAGAACCCGCTTCCCCTCCCCCATTTCTGAAGAAGGGTCTCGGCCCGAAACGTCAGATTTTAGAAAAAGGCAGGATTTCTGCTTGGTGTAAATTCTAGTTAATTTGATTATAATGAGGTGCTCATTATTCCAGCAGGGTGTTAACTTTGCCATGGTGTCATAGCCATGCTGGACAAAATGAGAAGATGGGCTGATAGCCCAGAATTTAATTTACCCCTTTCTCAGGGCCACCAATTTCTTTGTGATTCATTGCCTCTGGGAAATTGACATCTGAAGAATATTTGCTGGATTCCCTCTCTGCCAGGAATTACTCCTGTCGCAGACTACACTGCTGCATTGTCAGGCATACAATGCACCAGGGCTGATTTAGGAATGCTCATGTCATTCTATGAATTTAATCTCTTCTATTGGCATCACCACAAATAAGGTCAACGCAAGCAGCACCACCAGACTTCTTTCTGGAACTCCCATACCTGTAATCCTTCATTCACAATGATGTGTTCTGCAGTTATCAATCTGCTTGAGTACTCTGCTGTATCTACCTTTTGATTCCCTGGTAACAAAATCATTATTCTTATCCACCTGGATGATCAATGGGTGAGACTCCCAGTGCAGATCCCTTTAGCTATCCATCAACAGATCTAGCTGCACCAGATCAAACACTGTCAGGGAACAATTGTAAATCCAATGCATTCTAACTGGTTTCTTCACCTCATGAGATATCTGTCTTGCTTTCAAAACTATTGCCATTAAACAGCTATTCTTGGGCTGCTGATCTGTTTTGGAAGAAAATATATATATATATGCAATATACATGCTGTGGAGAGAAACTGAAAGGTCTGGATGAACAGATCGACCCTAGGGAAAAAATATGTAACCCCTTGACGATATTAAGTCAAATAGATAAAACGATGAAGAAGACAGCAATAATTTGGCTGTTATAAATCAGTGCAAGCACACTAAGCTAAAAAGCTAATAATAAATTTATCAAAACATTGGCTCAAGTACTGTTAGTGTACTGGGTTCGGCAAAAGCACTTCATTGTGAAGTTATAGGGAGCAAACATCATAGATTCAATAAGAGAATCCTCGAAATGTGAACCATATTGAGAAAAGCCATTAGAAGCTAAGGCAAACTGCACTGTGGCGCAGTCCCTAAGAGAAAATTTGAGATTTTTGTAAACTGAGAAGTTTGAGTGAGCAAAGACAGTTCAGTCTGATTTATCTTATTTTACTAAGGCGAGATGTGGGAGGGATCAGGTACCTAACCGTCTCCCAATAAGCAAGACTTATATTATTTTTTTCACAAAATTGCATGTTTCAAATGTATTCCCTATTCCTATTTCAATACTGACTAGCTAGGTTTACCTGACATCAGGAAACACAGCAATTTATAGGAGGTAAGAACTCCTGCATGAACTTTTCTAGCACTTGTATGGGGCAGAAGGAGCAGCCATGATTTCTGCCCTCATTCTCTCCAAAGCTAATCCCTTCCCTCAGCCGCTGAAATCACTGCATGGGGGGTGGTATCCTGTCACCAAGTCACCCTTTATTTACTTGTGCACAGTACACTGGCTGTGACCAGTTATTTTGGAGTCAGTGCCCTGAACTGAGGAGATTCTAAATGGCCTGTTTATACTGGTCAGTCAGGGCTTCCTGATTGGCCCAAGTTAATAACCCCAATCGAGGATCTTGTAGTCAACAATATCCACCTGGTTCCAATCACTACAGCCATTGAAGTACCCGACAAATACTGACCACTCACCATCTCTTTCCAGCCATAGCCTCCTGACCAAGCC